AGATCGATTTTTGAGAAATCGATATTTTAGACCTCGATTCATCAGGTTTCAATTTGAATCGAATAAAAACGATGTTTTTAAGAAAGAATCGACATCCCTACTTGCAGCTAATGAGGAGTAATAATCTTCCACTCATAGATGCCACTAGTTAGGACTGAGGTGAACTATAAAAGGTAATATTATAACTAAGAAACAGGCTGAGATAAATTTGCCAAATCATTGTCATGATCGTGATATAATAAATTAACATTTTTTGAATATTCCTGGTGATGATAATATAGAGCTTTCAAAACTTATTTTCTATGAGTTTAACAAATATGGGCCAGCTATTCTACATTTAAGTACAACAAATGAGGACCAAATAGCTAAAATAATTCAGAGTTTGAAATCTAACGCCCAAGGTTTGAATCAGATAACACTTGATATGATACTTATGACACTGCCACATACATTGAAAGTTATCACAGCTATTGTGAATGAATCTAATACCACCTCTACATTCCCCGATCAATGGAAAATAGCTGTGGTAAAGCCTATCCCTAAGAAAAAACAGGCAACCTGTTTAATAGGTCGAAGCCCTATAAGAATCTTGCCTTGTATATCTAAGGTAATAGAAAAAGTGGTCTGCGTTCAGTTAACCGAATACTTAGAGATACACAAAATCTTACCTTTAGCACAGTCAGGTTTTCGTAAACACCATAGCACTACAACAGCGATTATTGATGTTGTTGAAAATATACTAACAGCTCAGGATAAGGGAAAGGGCACAATACTTACTCTTTTAGATTTCTCACGAGCTTTTGACTCCATAAATTATACTCTTCTTCTGTCTAAGTTATCTTTCTATGGATTTTATGCTTGCATAGTTCAATGGTTTCATAGTTACTTAACGGATAGATTGCAATATGTTAGTATAACAAAACCTGATGGCACAATTCTTATATCTGAACCATACTTAGTTTCTCGCGGTGCCCCACAGGGATCTATCCTGGATCCTATTTTATTTATTTTATATAGTTCAGACATCACTAACTGTAACAAAAATTGTGAGTATTATTTATATGCAGATGAATTGCAAATATATAAATATTTTTTCTCTCAAGATTGTGAAACTGCTGTCAAATTATTGAATAAAGATCTCAAACGTATCTCGTTATGGTTCAAGCAAAATTCTCTTATGCTAAATCCACAAAAATATTAGAGCTAGCAACTAGCAACCTATAAAATATTAAAAATATCAATGCTTCAGCCCTTAATTCTAATTGATAATGAACCTATATAGCAAGTCCCTGAGAAAAGAAATTTAGGGGTATTATTGGAATCTAGTTTGCGATTCGAAAGTCATGTACTTGAGGGAGTGCGCAGTTGCTTTTACCGTTTGAAGTTGTTGTATAAATTTCGGCAGTACCTCAGTGAAGATATACGGATAAGATTGTGAATTATTTTTTTTTTAAATTTAATTAAGATTAATACTGTCTAAGTTAAATTATGCAGATGCAGCCTATGGACCACGACTGTTGAGAAGGACAGAGAAGCTCATACAGCGGGTGCAAAATGCGTGTACTTAATTATTAAAATGCGAGAAAATTACACCTTGTTACTATACTATTCTCAACATTAACAAAACAGCGACCAGTATACCTGTTTTAAAAGCTGAAGTGGGCCCGAGACCAAAATAAATATAATACAAGAGCTTCTATTCATTCCCTTGTAACAACTCGATACCGCACAGCTGCGTTTCGAGGTAGTTTCATATTTCCAGCAACCCACTGTTGGAATGATCTACCACCACCTAAAATCACTGAATAGTTTTAAAAACAAACTAAAGTTCTATTACATAGTAAAACAAGTTCAAAATACGTAATAAAATTATGTTTAGAACGCAAAATAGTACTCGTAATAATATTTATATTGTTTTATACTTTTTTTTAATTATTTACCATGTTAAAATATTATTGATGAAATAGTATTTCTGTTACATATTTGACGAATGATCATTTATTATTTATTTATTTTTAATCTTACTTTTTTATTTTCTAAACAAAAGCTAGGAAGTCTCGTAACATGGCGTGTCTCTTTGATTACAGAGTATAAATTATATATATACTAAAATCATAAATTTTATTGCTACTTTGCTTTGTCTTCCCCATAAAGCCAAGTATTTTATGTATAAATATATTTGTAGAGTATGTACTACACAACATTTATATTGATATTTATACAGTATGTGTGTGTTAATTGTGTTTTTTAGCACTACTCTTTAACCCACTGGCTAATTAGTATTACAGTTTTATCCATAAAAAGTTAAAAAAGGTTTATTAGCTTGTTATAAGGAGGTACCCGTAAAACATTATTCATAAACATTTAATAAATTTAAAACGCATTATAAGTGTTCAACAATGGCTTCATAAGTTATAGAAGGGTCAACCCTACTATAAACCTGTAATAATGAAAAATATGGCCTGTTTGTGTGCGAGTAACGAACAGCTGTTTGTTTAAGTCGTTAAGTTATTGTTGATGAAATTGTTTTTGTGGATTTTGCTAAAAAGTGTCGATATGCAAGCTTTAGAAGATATGGAGCAAGTAGGAAATGCTCCGCATATTCGTCGTAGGGTATTTTTTTAAGAGATATTATCCGTTTTCTTTGCCCGATGTAGAGTTCAAAAAGCGATACCGCTTCAATAAAAATACAGCATCTTTTATAATTGATCTTGTCAGGAAGGATTTACAACTTGACCTAAGGGGTTGTGGTACATCACCAGAATTGCAGGTGTTAATTGCCATTAGATATTGGGGATGTCGTGAAGTAAGGTTCAACTCGTAGCATACAAGTAATAATACCATATATGAGTGTGTAAACGTTTTTGTACCTATCCGTTTTAGGTTCAAGATAATGGGGGAGACCTTCATCGGTTCACACAACCAACTGTTAGTCGCATTTCTGCCAGAGTAGCTCGCACGATTGCTCGTCACTCTGAGACGTACATAAAAATGTCGCAGTCTCTGGCAGAAGAGCAAAGGGTTATAAGGGAATTCTTAGAGATAAGAAATTTGTGTTGTGGCTTCTCTTCTATGTTGGGTTGCATTGATTGTACTCACATAAAAATAAAGAAATCTGGTGGTGATGCAGCTCAGTATTATATAAACCGAAAAGGATTTTATTCATTGAATGTACAAGTAAGTTCATATAATAATATTATGTAGTTCTTTGCCAGGTGGTATATTACTCATATATATATATAGTACGCATTTATTTTGCCTACATACATAACTGTGCTCACATATATTTTTTTAATTTTCTGTTAACCAAGCCTAGCTCACCTTCGATCGTGCAATACCAACCTTACGCCCGCCAAGTAGTGATCGAATTAGATCAGAATTATGTAAACATGTCTACCTATGAAAAAACTATTTTTTCGTTTTAAACAAAACCAAAGACACTATGCAATAGATATTAGTATCAAAGACAAAAATATGCTCTTTTATTTTAAACCATAACCTGGCAATGTTTATTAGAAAAAAAAAGAAATCACTCTGAACTTCCGGCGTTCCACGTGTCACTTTGTTGAAGGTGCTCCGTCTTTTTTTATAGAATTTTATATTTGTGTCTGGACTAAAAACGAAAGTATTATACTTTTTTATATTCCTTGTAATATAGTGAACACATATATATATAATTTGTGGTATAAAAAGTGAAAAGTAAATTGCCAAAAGTGCTTCAAAATCTGGAAGGCCCATTATGGCGGCTGGGTCATAAATGTGGTATTTTTCACATTCTCATTTATTTTTAGTGTAAAATGTAAGTAAAAATAGTTTTCTTACATATTTCAAATAACTTGACGTTGTATTTATTTCAAATTCACACAAAACTATTTTAGAAATATTGTTCTAAATGTCACACAGATAAAATATTATTATTATTTTTTTTAATTTTTTAATATTTTAATATTTTGGTATGAGTAACGAATGGAAACACATAAAACATAAAAATATACATATTTCCAAACATTTTCATATAAATTTCTCTAAAAACAAAAGTGTAGAATTCAAATTAGTAGTAATTTTGTCACTAAAATTGAAGTATATGCTACTACTATGCTATACAGGGTAATTTACGTATTTTATTACAATTTCTAGCAACCAAAAATAATTTTATTCGATAGTTTATACGTTCAACAAGAATTCCTGTAAGTTTTATCCATAAATATTGTCTCAAAGTGAAAATATAGCAAAATTTGCAATATAGCAAAAAATTTGCTAACTTACAAATTTTCCCGCCAAAAAAGGTCCCGAGTGAACGGGAGTATAACATGGCGCGCGCTCGCTTGGCGAACAGGTTAATGTAGGTAGTTTGCGATGCTAAGCTGTATATCAGAGACATCGTTGCCAGATGGCGAGGCAGTATCCATGATTCCCGTATCTTTAACGAATCCACTCTAAAAGAGCGCTTTGAAAGAAGAGAGTTTAGAGGGAGACTCTTAGGAGATTCAGGCTACCGATTAGAGCCATATCTACTCACACCTATACTAAGACCACAAAATAAGTGTGAAGAAAAATTTGAACGTTGCTTTGGAGTGTGGAAGCAGGGGTTTCAAAGTCTGTTGTATGGCATGATAGTACACATGAAAAATGTGAAACCTACAATTGTGGCTCTGGCAGTGTTGCACAATATTGCAATAGGACAACAGGATTCGGTACCAGGTAATTTGCACACAAATAAATTTAGTCATTCATGAATATAATATTTCCTTACATAATAATATTAATAATATAATTTTCAGTACATGATGATGAACTCAATACAATTGTGGATGCTGAACTTCTACCTCAAATTTGTGAGGCCAGAGGAAGTGACTCCAATAATGCTATGCTAATATGAGCAAGTAAGCTTCACATTTTAATTTTAAATTACTTATTTTTAAGAACTAGAAGCTTTTTTTATATTCAATTTTAAAAATAATTAATGTCTCATCGAGGTCCAATTTCGGGCTTTCCTTTCTTCATTTGCCATTTGGGCTAAGCCGAGTGCAGGAAAGAGGTCCATCAACCTCTTTCCTGCACTCGGTTTCAGTATTGGCTATACTTTCTGCATGATCTGAGGTCTGAAATACAAATAGCTATGTTTGAGTATTTAAAAAAATCAAATCAACAATTTCATAAATTAAAATAATCCCTATTAGTAGATCCCTAGAATCCCTATAGTAGAGATCATTATATTTACCTTTTTCTCAGTTTTATTCTTTCTTTCAGGTTTCTCAGATGGTTTATAGAGTGGTTTTGGTGCTGAGCCAATAGATACAACCTGCAGCAATGAAATCCGTTAAAAGGAACATGTTTTCATTAACTTAATCTTAAATATACTTTGACATAAAATGTTTCATCAAATAAAATTCAAGTTTAAATGGACCATTTTTTATTCAACTAATATTTTTATCTCTAAACTTTACAATCCAGGATTACAAATCAAGTTATGGGTTCGATTCCCACTTTGGCACATGTTTAGTAAGTACTTGGTTTATCCGCTCGTTTGCTTCTTGCAACCACAGTTGCAAAAACAGAATCCTTTACTTTGCTCTTTGCAACTGTGGTTGCAAAGCGACGAAGTTCTTTTAATTGAATTTAGACCGTATTTTAAACGCACAGAGTCTAACTATTACGTATTAAAACCAAAAATAAATATATAAATCATAGGTTTGGATCAAAATTACCAACCTCTCGGACGAAAAATATCGAAACTTTGTTAGTAAAACTAACAAAGTTTAGTACGTGAAGTGACGCTTGAGTGGATTTAACAGGTGATAAAATATGCCGTGAGTATTGAATTTTACTAATTTTTGTTAGTATTTATATACCAATTCTTGTATTATAGTAATATTTTTGCAATGTATGAAAAATGTGATAAAGTAGACTTTTAAAAATAGTCAGAATGACGCGAATCTAAACATAATTTTCTATAGCTTATATTATCGTAACTTTGTTGTATTCTTTAAATACGAAATACTCGTAGTGGTATTTGAATATAATAATTCAATTTAAATAATAAAGTTTCATAAATTGTTCATCATATTATAATGTATTATGGAAATAAAACCGCCCGGTGAGTTTTTACCTTGTCGAATTACTTTTGCCACTCTGGTTGCAAGAAGCAATTCAAATGTTTTGGCTTAGGGTTGGTGCTTGGTGGATTTTTGAGTATGAAAATTATTTTGTGTTTTTTGCAACAAATATTGTGGTGTAAGTGGGTGTTATGTGTGGTTTTTAACAATAACATCTTAACTTTTTCGTAACCAAATTTTTTCGAACAGCAGCGGCATAGTGATAGGTGGAAAAAAAGTGAAGCTTTCATTTAGGTGATGGTGACAGCTGAAGAGTTTTTTACAATTCCGGTTCTTCAATTTATTTTCAATGTTTTTTTAATATAGTGGACAAGGTAAATATAATAATGAAAAAAGACGAGGTAGAGGAGGAGATAGAGGACGAGGTAAAAGACTAGGTCGAGGCCAAGGTACAGGTCGAGGCCCTGAAAACCATGTGAAAGCAATGATAAGCTTGTACCAGTTACTAAACTCCACAGAATTAGCTTTGTTATTTTTTATTTTATTACATTTATGGGGCAATGTATACGTTTTTACAATAAAGTGCCAGAAAATGTACAAAATTTTTCATTAAACAAGTTTAAATGTTTTATTAAAGAAAAGTTGTACAAAAGGCGTTATTATAATATAAATAAATACATAAATGAAAATAACCCCTGGGGATGAGGTGATCGCCGCCATGGTGTTTCTATAAAAAAATCATACAAAAACTACAAAAAATAAATTTATTTTTAATTAAAATATGTTTAAAAAAGTCCCGCTGGGTTCCTTGCTGGTTCTTCCCAGGACAGAGGTTTTTTTGCGAACCAGTAGTAAATAAAAAATTTATTTTCAATAAGTATTATACAAAATAGATTTATTGAATAGAAGTCATTCATTTCATTTCATGACATATGGCATACTACTGTGGGGAAACGCTGCCGACATTGAATGCCTCTTTGTGTTGCAGAAAAGGGCTGTTCGGACTATCTATGGTATGAGGTCAGTTTGTCGATGCTGTGCCAACCCTAGCTAAAGTCGACCGCCATCTTTACGATTCGATCCCCAAGCAATCGATCTCAGCGTTTTTGAGAACATATTTAGCCAGATTTAATTTATTTTGTATTAATTGTAAATATAACATAATCTACAAGTTTCCTAATGTTTTGAAATCTTCAGGACTTTGCCCGTTTATTGTATAGGTGTAATTGATTGCGTCATCAAATTAATGTATTTCCAGATTTAACAATTTAATTAGAATTGCGGATTGGCTGAAAATACGCCACATGCATTTAATTTGTAAATTACGACATGAATTTATACATAACAATTTATTTGTTATATAAAAGAAAATGAAATTTCCTTTACGAAGGTGGCTATTTTTTTGGTCTACGTAATCAAGTTTTTATGTAATAACAGCCTAGATTGTAACTAACAAATGCGATCAATTTCGCAATCCGTGAATTCTTCATCAGGTTTCACTTAATATTTTTACTATGTTTTTAAATATAAATCGTTTTATAATATGGATAAATATATCAGGTAATTCATTAAGTTTAGGGATATAATGAATAATCACACACTTATTGATCTTATTTTTTTACTAAACCCAATGTTTTACAAAGAGTCGCTAAAATAACTTGTACTTGTGATTTCAACACCTCTAAAATATTATTGTAATCATATTTTCGTAAAATAACATTTTCAATTTCTTTCTTAATTTAATGGATATGCATAACATTTAAAATATTTGAAGTGCTCCTCTCGAGTAAGTCATAAATTAAGTTTTATTGATGGCGCGGCGGGTCGAACGCGCGTAACACTGTCCCGACCTACTGGCAAAGTAAGCTACCAATTTTTTTTACGCAAGAAATCGAGCGGTTTTTTTTGCGCCCGAAGCAAATATGGGCAACCCTCCGGAAAGCGGGGGAGGGAGGTTGAGAATGCTCATAGCATACCACGCAGCCGGCTGCGTGGTTATGTGGTGACTTTTACCCACTAAACCCAACCTCTTAGGAATTGGCTTAACGATCTGACTAGAGATCTCTAAGCCGTATACGAACGCGACCCTCCTTGGCAGAAAGGAGGGCGCAGAATCGAGCGGTTAAAACATTTCACATATTTACCTGTCGTGTAGTTTGGATCTTCTCAAGTATTTCTACTGTGACAACCTTTACTATACTCTGTGTCCTACAACAGCAAAATATAAAAAATTAGGTATGAAAAATATGAAAATTGCTAGCTATCTCAATGCTAGACAAGTTTATTTATCCCATCCACTTTGATTTCATTTTGCGATGGCTCCCCAATCTACAAACAATGCAATAAATAATTTGTAGGTGTGCTGCGTACACACATACACGCATGTATGCTTTGCAATATTGTCTCTATATAATTAGTGAATAAGATTTTTCAGTTAGTCACTAGTTGCCCGCCAACTGTATTGTACGTTCCGCTATAATAAATTTTAGCAAAAGTTATTTCATCTTTTATTTTGGTCACCAATAGGCACCCCTATGGAGTCAGCTCCTAAACTGGGGACCCCGACGTGATGTTAATTCAGTAGTGAGCAATATTCGCGTGGTTGTGATCGGACGGACAATTTATATAGTAACACGAGTGCGCCGTATTCGCCAATGCCACAGAACGTGCCGCCTGTTAACGTGCCACCCGTTCAAGGCATCCAGCCACACGCGCAACCGCCCATTATGGCACCAGGTGTAGATGCAGTATCTCTACAGTCTCGCCTCTCAGACTTTTGGACGATCAGCCACGCGTATGATTCTTACGCACAGAAGCTATCCTCGCACCTCAGAGGATGAGTGATGAAGCGAAGTTTGACCTGATCGTGTCCAAGCTAAGTAAGGAGGTCATCGCGCAAGTGACGGACATATTACTAAACCCGCCTCCTACCTACAAGTACGACGCACTCAAAGATCGGCTGCTCCACATCTATGAGGAGTCAATGTCGAGGCAGATCAAGAAGCTTATGAGCGAGCTAGAGCTGGGCGAGCAGAAACCATCTCAGCTGCTTCGTCGGATGCGTGAGCTCGCTACTGAAAAGGTTCCTGATGAAACCCTTCGCGTGCTGTGGCAGAGTCGTCTTCCGACACAAGTGCGAGCCGTGCTCACTGTGTCTGACTCCAAGGACCTGGAAAACCTAACAGCAGTCGCAGATAACGTCATGGAGGCTGTGCGGCCTTCCTATGCCGCCACCGCTACCTATGCCGTACCAGCGCCAACATCTACGGCCGCCCTTGACTTGGCCCTGTTGAGGGTTGAGGTGGCTAAAATAAAGGCTACCGTGGACCAGATCGATCAGCAGAGGTCGCGGTCTCGCGACCCTGATCGCAACCGGCGTCGTTCGCAGTCCAGGCGCCGTAGCGGTTCCCGCCGGCCCCGGAACGGGAACTACTTATGCTTCTACCATTACGGGTTCCTACCAACAAGTGTATGAATCCTTGTGCGTGGAAACCAACACAACCAGAAAACTGAGCGGCGAGGTACAGTCTGAGGATCTTCAGGTCTGTACCATTTTTCCATTCAATCGTTTGTGTGTGTCAGACAGTAACTCTGGGCTTAGATTTTTAGTCGACACCGGTGCCAATGTGTCTGTTTTACCAGCCGTGAGAAAAGATCGTGTAAATCAGTGTAGTGAATATAAATTATACGCAGCTAACGGTAGTGAAATCGCAACTTACAGTACGAAGACACCAGTGTTAAACTTAAACTTACGTCGACCTTATCGTTGGGAATTCGTTGTGGTAGATGTCAAACAACCAATTTTAGGCGCCGATTTTTTAGCGTACCACAAATTATTAGTTGATTTAAATGCACGTAAATTAATAGATAAAACTACAGAATTGAATGTTTCGGCATCTGTTGTCATTGTATCTCAACCTAGTGTTAAAACTATTGATGTAAATCATCCGTATCAGGATTTATTGTTAAAGTACCCGAACATCACTAAACCAGCGTCATTCCGAGAAACCGCGAAACACGATATCGTCCACTATATCGAGACCTCTGGCCCGCCCGTGCACGCGAAAGCGCACCCGTTGCCACCTGGTATAAAAAAGTTAAAGAATAATTTCGCATCATGCAGGAACTGGGCATCTGTCGTCCTTCAAAGAGCGCGTGGGCTAGTCCACTCCATGTAGTTCCTAAAAAGAATGGAGATATTAGACCTTGTGGGGACCATCGCCAGCTGAATGCGATAACAAAGCCCGTCAGATACCCAATTCCTGGCTTTAATGATTTTACTTTTATTCCTCCGGATAAAAATATATTTTCAAAATTAGACATCAATAGAAGTTATCATTTTATACCTGTCGCACCAGGTGACGTGGAGAAAACCGCTATCACAACAATATTCGGACTTTTCGAGTTTCCTCGAATGACCTTCGGTTTGCGTGGTGCAGCACAAACCTTCCAGCGCTTTATGAACTCCATTTTACAAGGGCTTGATTTTGTCCTTTGTTATTTAGACGACTTACTTATAGCTAGTGACAACGAAGTTCAACACAGGCAACATTTAGAAATTATTTTTAAAAGGCTTAATAAATATGGAATTTCAATTAATTTGGCAAAATGTCCTTTCGGACAAAACTAAAGTAGAATTTTTGGGACACGAGATTAGTACCGACGGCGTCAGGCCGTTGCAAGATAATGTTCAGGCAATTGTGGAATTTCCGAAGCCGAAAACTGTTGCAGAGCTAAGACGTTTTCTCGGTATGGTCAATTTTTATTGAGCTCATCTTCCCAATCCTACTTTATATCTAACAGAATTAAATAAATATCTTAAAAGCTCAAAGAGAAATGATAAGACTCCCATCGTCTGAACGGATAGTGCGAACGAAGCATTTACGCAATGTAAGGCAGGTCTCACACAGGCCGCTACATTGACGTACCCTAGAGTGGGTTCCGCACTTTCTATAATGACTGATGCATCTAATACATGCGTGGGAGCAGTCTTGCAACAAAAAGAAAGAGATAGCTGGAAACCATTGGGCTATTTCTCAAAAAAATTGACCACCACCCAACAGCGATATAGCACATACGATCGCTAGTTGCTCGCTATATACTTAGCTATAAAACTTTTTCGGAAATTATTTGAAGGGCAAGAAATAACCGTGTATACGGACCATAAACCTTTAACTTTTGCATTTCAAAAGGTAGGACGCGATGAAAGCGAAACGCCTCGGAGAACGAGACATTTAGCTTTCATAAGTGAGTTCACTACAAATATAAAACATATAACCGGTACGAATAACATTGTAGCTGAGACCTTATCGCGCATCGAAGCCGTGACTATGCCAACTGCGTTGAATTTTGATGACATTGCAAATGAACAGCGTAGCGTTAGTTATATCACGAATGTTATGTCTGGTTTAAATACCGATACTATTTAAACCAGACATAACATTCGTGATTATGGGTTGACTGGTAGAGAATGCCTCAAGGCGTTAAGTCCGCCCTTTGTATTCTTTTGTTAAGGATGCGATAAAGAATAAAATAAATAAATAAAATAATAAATAATATTTTGTTAAAGGAACTAGTTATACCTATGTTAAATAAGTCTATTTTTTGTGAGATGTCTACTGATACAGCTCGTCCGTACCTACCGGAAAAGTTTCGACGCCTAGCTTTTGATAGTTTACATAATTTGAGTCATTCTGGAATTCTTTTTACGCGAAAGATGTTATCCAAAAATTATTTCTAGCCTAGTATGAATCGTGATGTTTCTTTGTGGGCAATAACGTGCATACAATGTCAGCGTTCTAAAGTTAACAGTCATACGGTATGGAATCTGACTACGTTTGCGGAAGTAGATCGTTTTGAGCATGTGCACATCGATATCGTTGGCCCTCTTGAGATCTCACCAGATTGTTATAGATACTTTTGGCCTGAAGCTTTTCCGTTACGCGACATTACGCCAGAAACTGTTGCCAAACATTTATATGAAGGTTGGATTTGTCGTTACGGTTGCCCGATATAGTTAACTAGCGACCAAGGTCGCCAGTTTGAGAGTAGTCTTTTTAAGCAGCTGTTAAAAAGTTGGGGTAATAGAATGATATGAAGGCGCAGGTGAACGTTGGCACCGCTCTTTAAAAACAGCACTTTCAGCTCGCCTTTCACATAGGTCCTGGGTGGAAGAGCTACCCACAGTATTACTTAGGCTTCGCGCGGCCGCCCACAGCGACTCAGGGGTTAGCGCCGCCGAGTTAACGTTCGGATGAAACTTACGTCTACTCGGAGACTTTTATGACAGCTCTTCAAACAACCGTAACGTCAATGATTATTGTTTATTGGATAAGATTAGAGATACTATTCGTAGTTATAAGCCTACATCCGACTATTCACGTAACTGTCAAAGTTTTTTTTGTGCACAAGGACTTACGTATCTGTGAATATGTCTTTATTAGGGACGCTTCAATACGTAAACCTTTGAAACCACCCTACGACGGTCCATACCGCGTGATAAAAAGAGGCTCAAAGGTTTACCTAAGTCAAATACCCGATAGACAGGTACATATTTCTATCGACAGATTAAAGCCTGCATATGTATTAAAGGAATGTGATGGTAACGAAGCAACGCCACGCCACAGTAACGCTGACAACGCAGCAGATGTGGTACCTGCGCATGTGAGGTTCACGTTACCACCGCCCACACTGGTGAAGTCGTCGTTACCGGCCCGAGTAATCCGATAACCGTGAAAACAACGCGAAATGGTCGCATTGTTAAGTTACCTTCACGATTTATAAGCTAGTGTTTATATAAAATATATATAATACAATTACATGTCTAAATGATAATCAGGTTTAGTTACTATAGATGTGAAAGTATTATTTACATTGTTAGGTGCATAATATTTTCATACAGGATATTCAAGTTACAATATTTAAGTTGAATGTAATTGTAGAGGTATTGTGTTCAGTATTTTGCGTATACTGCAGTTTCACTAAGGTTCTAGGTAGTGAGTTTAGTTATAATGTATTTAATTTCATTTTATTCGAAATACTTCCTTTGCGAAAGCATTAGTGCGAAAAGTTTTACGATTTTTACTATGGGTAATTTTCAAGAAAAGCCAGTTATTGTTTCTCAGGCTCAAAATACTGTAGAGAATAAAGTGGATAATTTTCGAATATGGTTATATGTGATAGCCAGTTTTATGGGGGCGATAATCCTGTACGCTATTTGGGTAAAGTTTGATAAGAAGTTCAAAAGCTGGCTTCGCCGTCAGGTGTTAATGGCAGGCGTTCCAATATCGGGCCAGAATATGGGTCAGATGATAGGTGCTTCTAGCACCAGTCTGCAGCACGCGCCCGCGCCCGCTGCGGCAGCCGCCCCTTTCTTGCGGGGGTCTCCGTGCAGCCCTGCGCACAAGCGTATTAGAAAGTTTTTGTTGTTAGTTTTAAGTTTTGGTTTATATTCATTGTATAGTTTTAAGTTTTTTTATTATTTTTTATAAAGGGGGAAGTATTGTAGGTGTGCTGCGCACACACATACACGCATGTATACTTTGCAATATTGTATCTATATACTTAGTGAATAAGATTTTTCAGTTAGTCACTAGTTGCCCGCCAACTGTATTGTACGTTCCGCTATAATAAATTTTAGCAAAAGTTATTTCATCTTTTATTATGGTCACCAATAGGCACACCTATGGAGTCAGCTCCTAAAAATTAAATTAATAATGAACTTAAGCATAAATTTTTTTGATAACTATATCATTAAGTAAACTTTAGTAGGTATTTTATTTAGGCAGAAAAGGAACAAATATATTTATTACGCAACATAAAAGTATGTACTGGGTAGAGACAAAACTTGCGACCCTTAACTTAGAATGTAATACCTGATTTAGTTCATCAGAATCAAATGCATTGGTGTCAATGACACATTCGTTCGGGAGCCATAAACAGATGTCATCTGTATTTTCAGGGTTCATTGTTGGATGTGGACCACCACCAATCTGGCGAAGATTCTTTCTTTCGACAGACTTAATTTACTTTTTTGTCATTTTAATGATGCCCTATTGGGATTTTATTTAGGGAAGAGTGTGAGTGCCACCTTTGCACACTGTTGAAACTGGAAAAAAGTATAGTCACAACTTATACAAATGTTTGACATTTTAATATTTAAAATGGGCCAATCACAACGCAAGTGATCCTGAGGACTTTTTTGCGTTTTCATAGTTCCATGTTCTATGAAGTGAGCACATTTAAGTTTTCAACTTAAATCTGAACCTCTATCAGCAATTTTATTCTTAAATAAGTTTCATCATAATTAATCCTATTACATAAGTGGCTCCTAAGCTTATACGCATTAGACAAGCTAGAGACGAAGTGACATGCTTCTGATGCATAATAATGTAACTAACCGTATATAGAATATCATTGCGTTGAAGACTCATCTTCAAACACTTCATAAATTGTTAGACAAAAATAGGTACCTAGTACCTACATAATAAATCTGCCCATGCTGCTAGCTTTTTTGAGTTTGTATTTGTATCAGTATTTTTATTTTCAATTACTGATCCACGCTCCCTTATCAAATCCATCAATAAATGCTATGGAAATAAAAGGGATATACTATTATAACAACACAGTTAACTAACTTTTGTGCACTAAGCACCAATGAGAAAATTACTTTAGTCACATACTAACTTTATCTTCCTCCAGGCAATTTCCACTTCTTTGCCACTTTTAACATGTATGTTTTCCACTATTTTTGTGGAGTATAAAATAAAACAAATCAATTTCTTGCATTGAAGTAATATGTACTTACGTACTAGTACAGCTATCTCAAACAAAAAAATGTGCGCTATTCTGTGTTCGCGCGGTTGTTTTTTTTATTATAGGTAGAATGACCCGTAGGTAATATTAGATTGTATTGTTAAAAAGGTAAATTATATCGAGAATAATATTTAAATTTTGTCGTTTATTTTGTATATTATATTATTTGCTTATTTAATATAATATTACATGATATTATATCACAGTTACATGTTGATAATATTTTAATCTGAATATTTTAAAAGGTATCTAAGCAAATATAAAAAACATACTAAATGTATGTTTAACAAAATTTATTAACACAACAATTAAATTACAAATATATTTATTTAAGTTAGAATAAAATTCGTTCATAAATGCTGGGCACGCGAGAGTTAAAAATGGACGAATTTATACCACTTTGACTTTGATGTGGAAACCTAAAAATAAAATAAAAGAATAATAAGCAGATTTAAACATGGAAAATTTTGCCAAGTTATAATAACTTATATATGTTGCTACAAAAAAAGGGTATAATAATATATTCGCCTTATACATGAGTACCCACAAAAATGTCGCATTTGAACATATTAATTTCATAATCTATATTCCATGACACGAGATGGCGTCTTAGGAATAATTTGTTTTATTATTAATACATAACACTTTTTTATTGATTAAGTATCTTAATAACCGATGAAAAGTAATTCCTTGGTTTTTACTGACATTTATTGTGCAATATCTAAGTACACACGACAGCATATTTTTATCAAGAGATTTTTTTTTAAATTAACACAACACGTGACAACTCTACAAGCGCCTAGCGAGTGACTGATTAAAGTGCGATGTATGCACCGCAGTTGAGTGCAGTGTCGCCTCTAGTACGTAGTACATAATAGCTCAATGACTTGAATCGATTTAACAAAAACACTACGCTTGTTTCGACGGAAATTTCATAATTTCTGTCAAACTTTTATTTATAGAATGACAACATAATAAAACTAAAGTATTCCATAAATATGATTTAACTATGACATGTTTATTGAACGTTTATGCATAGAGAATTTTATAATAGGTTTAATTTTATTTAAATTTAAGCGACAGTAGCCTAATGGCAGGGCGCTGACCGCGAACTCAAAAAGGTCGTGGGTTCGAATCCGCCATTCGACTACTGTCGTGAACCACTCGTAACACAAGCAATTTAAGCTTACCAAGAGTGGTTAAGGGGAATATTAGTAATGTTTATAGCATTGTTAATATTCTTTTTTAAATAAAAAACAAGTTTAATAGTACTATTGAGCATTTTAACTAATTACTGTTATAACGCCATTTTAGTCGATTTTTATGAATAAGACTGTAAGTTTATAAGTTGTAGTTACGTGTAATTCGAGTTTCACACACCGACTCGTCAGTGAAGTCACAAGGTTCCAACTGAAAACCAGCGCTGCCACTGCAGCATTATGCTGAGTTGGAGACCTATTTGATGTCACATTTTATCTTTAAATTCTATCTTTAATTATTTATGGATATGGATGCAAGTAACCTTGGACTTATTAGATTGTTGATTGTGCTTGAACGAGTTCGGATTAGACTTGTGATGGACGGTAGTGACAATGATGAATTGTCATATCAACCAAAACATATTTAAATTCAAACATTGCAATAATTTCTTTTGACTGCCTCATTAATTTAGTAGCCCTAAGCGCGTCTGCTGTATCCTTTGGCTATGTTTCGATGATCTCTTTAGGGATCTCCGGTTGTTCGACGCTTTCTTACTCTGAGTGTTCGCACAGACACAAACAAGTAGTCATTCTACACCAAGAGCCCGCTCTGAAATACGTAAATTGCCTATATTTAGATAATGGACCGGGTACAGTCAATGATATTTTTGTTCGATATTACCATTCTGTATGACGAGAACTTCGTGTAAGCCGAAACAGATAAACAAACAAAATATCTGTACATATAGCTCAGTATTGTTTTGGGAACATATTTTATATTTATTAATTAGATTTATAACACAACTAAAAATCACGCAATATTTAAAATTGCGTGTGCTGTAGCTATTATGATAACAAATTAAAGTCTTTGTTGTCATAATAGTTGTTTATATTAAAGTAAGCTTCTTAAACAAGTATTTCCCTGTATTTTTTTAACTCCATAAATATTTTTCACAGTACCGTGTTTCCTGAAATATATTGTTATCATTCATATTTTTAAAAGCACTACACGAAAAAACTGGTAATAATTTTAGGCGACGGAAATAATATCTCTTTAAATATTTCTGTACGGTATTATAAATTATTACGATCGCATAAAATATTTCAGTTAAAAATGTTTATCAGGTACCTGTAGGTTATAAATAATAATATAATTCACAATATTTTCCTAGTAACAAGCCAGCCAGTATTGACATTTTTATTTTTCATAGGTTTTGTTTTCTAAACAGTTCCACCACACTAGGATTTTTCTGTATCATGGAGACGGTTTATATTCATAAATTTTATAAGGACATACATCCAGACCAATAACAATTATGTGTAGGCCTAACAAATATATGTTCCCTACGAGATTTGAACACACGGCCGTCAACGTAGCTAAGTCACTGCGCCATGGAGCTGTCAGTCAGTATATTATTCCATTTATTTAACATGACCTTCCTTCCTTCCATGCTCTAATATCTTCAACTGAGTGTTACAAAGTAAATAATTAATGCTTTACTGAGTCATCACTACTAGCCAACCCTATAAAATATTTGGATGCGACTGAGGAGCAATTAAACAAGCTTGAGCGCTTGCAAAACTTATGTATCCGTTACATTTTTGGGCTAAAAAAGTATGACCACGTCTCTTCCTATCGCAAACAGCTCAAGTGGCTCCCAATCCGACTTCGCAGGAATACCCGAATCCTATGCCTCCTTTTTTAAAATACTCTACGATCCAACATCACCACCATATCTACGTGATCGATTCCGCTTTGCTCGTTCTCCCGATGCAGTTTGCAGATCACATTTAAAAACCCTCCTAAATTTCCCTTCCTTCAGAACTAAGTACTATTCTCATTCTTTTACAGTACATGCAGTTAGGTTATGGAATTCTCTTCCTACTGCAATTCGTGAGGCTCCAACAGTTTCAGTGTTTAAAAGGCGAGTTAAAGAGCACTATCTTTCTTTGTCGTCCCAATGATCCAATGTATGACTTGTAAATATATGTGTATCTACTTGTATTTTATTTTATATATGTATATAGCATAGTATTTAGGTATATGCATGTTTGTATGTATATGTTTTTATTATCTTTATGTTATATTAAGTTTATTATAAAATTTATTATGAGGGTGCACACTAAATCTGCTTCTCTTTGAATCTGTCCAGTATCAGGCCTGCTGGAAGAAATTTCATTATGAAATAAGCAGAGCCTTTGTACAAAATTTCTTTTTATTTTTCATTGTAAAATACTTCGTGTGTACATGAATTGTTAAATAAATAAATAAAATAAATAAATAAAGTATCAAGCGTTAGTAAGCAAATTTTCACACAAGGTTCCCTGAGGGATCCTTTCTGTCCTATATATCCGTTTAGGAGTCATTGTGTACGAAAAAAATAAAAAGCCTTCGCAAATGGCACGGTGAAACGTGTGCATAGAACTTTAAAGCGTAATGGTTCACAGGGGTCGAAATATTGTAAAAGATTCGTAGTTAAACATAAGGCACGCATTTTCCCACTCGCACGACACCGAATTAGAAACAAAATACACCTAATTTTTGATTTCAGGGTTATTTTCGCATTAAAAAAGAACGTGACGTAAATACGATACAGTGCGTTAACATTACACATTAAGGGAGATTGCGTGGTTTAAAAAATTATATAGTTTATAGACACAGTTTTCCGTGTTTGAAAAACTTTACTGTTAGATCGTTTAAAAGATTAAAATAATCGTATTTTAACAATGTTGTGGCCAGGATTAAGAAAGGAATGCTTCGGTGGTTTGGTCATGTGCAAAAAATGTATGAGGAAAGAGGACAAAGCAAATTTATGTTGCAAAAGTGAACCGCAGAGTCGAAAAGGGACGTCCCAGGCCAAAGTTTATCGATCAAATTGGCGATATATTAAAAATGGGTCAAATTAGAAGTACCCTTAACCGACGAACATGTATGCGTAGGTATATGGATATGG